ATCGTTTCACACCTGTTTCATGCAAATCAAGCTTATCATGCTCAGTTAATGAGTAGGCCTACTGTTTTGAACCCTGGCAAGAATTTCAACCCGGGTTGAAAATCTCAACCCTGGTCTGGAGCAGGGATGAGTTCGACCCAGGGCAAAATCAATCTCGGGGTTGACACAGGGTTGAAGCAGGGTTGAAATTCTTCAAGTGTAAAACAATGCATGTTTTCAACCCTACGTCAACCCCAAGATTTATCTAGTGTGAAAAGGGCTTATGTGTCACTTCACACACTGTCAATGGTCCGTATCAGTCAAAAAAGGCAATCTGGGGTTCAAAGTGGAAAACCCCCTCGAGCTGTGTACAACTACAAGGGGTCACAAAAGGTTCTCTGGTCAAAATACAAACGAATATAGAAGGGGCACATCATCCTGAAATCGGCAAAATTTTTATCTCTGATACTTGTGAAAGGAGCTTCTACATCTAGATAGATAGATAGATTTCTTTATTGTCATGCTCATAATTACATGGAAATTGTAACTTGGTGGTCTTTTGGTCTGTCTGTCTGTCTGTCTGTCTGTTCCTGGAAAATTCAGCAAAACTATTTGACTAATTGACCAAATACCATGCCGTGGTCATACATGTATGTAATAAAATGCAAGCTTGCTGACGGTTCTCGGTACAGCGATTTTGTTTTGATCGATGCTATCTACATCGGATTTGAACCAGCCAACCGATCCCATTATCTCGGTGATCGAGTGGTAAGACGTCTGCACTAGAAAGCAGGGGGTCGTGGGTTCGAGTCCCATCCGAGTGATTTTTTCCAATGTTCACTCGGAAGAAAACACACCGACTATAAAGTGTTTATACGTCAGTGAAGGGCAAACCCTAAATTTAATTTACACCACCCCGAGTCCCTGAATGCAAAAATCCCATCTTATGAATAAAATATAATGTGCTACCATTGACTGTGAACATGTCCATTAAAGATATAGTCCATCATTTGTAATTTGTGCATTTTGTTCGTTTGAAGCAACAAATGCGTTCAAAATCTAATGAAGGATACTGAACAACTAACCTGATGAACTTTCAGCTCAGCTTCAGCTGTATATTCCGAGAAAAACAACATTCTAGGATCTCAATTTCAAATCAAAAGTTGCTGAATCATGTTTTGAATTGTTTTAAATTGCAGCTATACGCGATGTTGCACACTGATCCGACGAATTATAGCAACCGCGCGCGCCTGTGCGTCGTGCTAATGCTTGTGCGCACTGCGCCGAATAACAAAACGAACTACTATTTTAAAATTTCCTACGGTGGGTCTTAAGACGCACCGTTGGAAAGGCCTTCTTTTGTTGATTACTTCAAAATAATAGCTTGCCAGAAAGATTAATTTCACAGAGAGTTTAGTCCACTTACTATCTTTCAACCAAGTATGTTTTTCAACAATAATACGCCAGTTACTTTTTCGGATGGCTGCAAATGATGGACTATAGCTTTAAGTTCAAAAAGTAAAACAAAATGTAGTGTAAGCCAAGTGGGGCCGACTTTGGTACACATAGATTACAAATGTACATGTACAGCAAACCAGCATATTAATTAATCCTGTTTACAACCAAATGATAATAGCACCACACAAAGTAGGAGGCTTCAAAGAAGCCCGTCACTTTTTGTTGTTGTGCCCATCCCAAAATAACCATAAGTAAAAACTGCATGAGAAAAGCCACCAGTCAATGCGGGAGCCACTTGTCCAGGGACACATTATTATGCAAAATACCAAAAACTCAAGGCTTCACGAAGCATTGCAGATGCTTTGCAGCGTGATTATTCACCACTTCAACAATAGTTGAGCAGGGGACCCATACATATGCCATTGTAAAGAATATGTTTGCCTCAGTGTGTTTGGTATACAAGTGTATGCAAAGAACTTCTGAATTACTTTGACGATGGCGTGGGTTTGCTTCTGGGACCGGCAGAAAATTCTGACAACTCGGCCGCTATGCGCTCAACTGGAAAGACAAAGCCTCAGAAGGAGGACGCGTTTTCTGTTGAGCCAACTGACTGTAATTTGGTTTTCAAAGGAGGCGTGGTGGCCTCAACCTGTGGTTGGTCGGCACGATTTGTTTGTAGAGTGAGTACAAGAGTCAGGAATGGTCGTGCTGGCCTTGCTGGGTTTGTTCAGTTCATGGTAAACTCTGTTTCATCAATAAAACATTTTGCCAAAGTTTCAGATGCTGTGAGCAAAGGTCTCCGAGTTAAGAACAAAATGTACACAATCTTTTTTACAATTTAGATGTGCTGAAGTCATTAAAAAAAATAGAAATTAAACTTCCTGGGATGAACATGTAATAATGGTACTAAGGTGCCCTTAATGTTTTAAATAATTAAAGCGTATGAAAGACAACTGAGTAAAATTAAAACTGGAGTCTGGAGAAAAGATGCGTACACTTATAACAATTAGGTTCCATTTAGACATTTGGAAAATTTGTAAACAGACTTTTGTTTGGGTTTTAATATGTAAATCTGAAAGCATCACATCCTAATTTGCGGGCCCTGGCTATGTAGGCCTAGGCTACATTTGTTTAGTTGGGTCCTTGGTGCTAGGGGTAGATTTGCCCTGCAGGGTGAACAGGCAATGTTTAATCCAAGTCTCATCATTTCGAGGCTGAGCAATACATGTAGTTCCTGGATGAAAGTTTGTCCATGTGTTCAAAGGGATAGAACGGGAAACCTGCCAGTGGGATGCATCAATATGGCACTCTTTCCATAGCAACATAATCACTTGTGGCACAAACACTTATAATTTTTCCCCCCATGTACCGAACTTTATTCAAATCTCAGAAGAATTGTGCTCAATTCTGGAACATCAATCTGTATCAGGTATTGACGAGTCCAGCATGCACACAGAAACATGACAATATCACTACTACATCACAGGCACTTCAAAGCTTGCAAATGACAACCACTTCAAATGCTGAACTCAAGTAGTTGTCATTCAAGAGCGGATTTGCCTTTTGTTCCCAAATACTGGCTAATTAGGCAACTGGTGCCAATCCCAAGCGCAGTCACGACGACACCGAGATAGAGGGTACCATCAAAAAGATGAATCAAACCCAGTATTGGGGCCTTTGGCACTGGGATCCGAAAAAATCTGAGCATACCTGTACCCCACAGGCGCAAGCTCATTAAAGGGAATATACAACATTTGCAAACATAAAAAAAAAAAAAATACCAAATTATTATGAAATACCTCACTGGACTGTTAGTGAATGACAGTGTAAAGCATCCTGTCAAATTATGGCACCTGGTGTGCTGTCATTTTCAAGAAAAGTGGTATTTTTGTATCAATTTCCAACACTGGTTGGCTGACCAGCATTGGAAAAAAAATGTGGTTTTTCCTTCAAATACTGCCCCCAATTTACCATATTTAGTTAGTCCGCATTTTGTTTGCAAACGATTACACACCTATGAACGGGTACAAGCCAGCTAGACTGGTTCCCTGACCTTACAATTCCTGACGTCTATAAATTGCTCTGTTTCATCTTAAGTGGGGTCAGGGAACCAGACTACAGGAACATGATTGTTTTCTTGGTTTTTCCAGCATCTACGAACACAAAACTTCAAACAAGTCAGTGCAACAATATTTGCTATAAAATATTAACCCTAAAATATGGACATTCAGTAGGCAATGCTGTTGGAGGATTTTGAAGGATTGAGGCAGTGGGTATCCTTCATTTGAACATAAGTGCAACATTTTGGAGGATTGAGGAAGGTTCCTAGCAAAAAGGGCCTTTAGTGAAACTTATCAAGTCTTATCAAAAGTTATCGAAGGTCATCACACAACCAGGGAAGATTTGTTTCACGGTAGGTTTACCGACTTCAGTCAGAATTGAAGACTCAAAACTTGGACTTGGATAGACCTGTAAACATGGTGTTTAATACACTGCCGTGTTTCATTGAGAATGTATACATTCGTCTACAGACGCGATGTTTTATGACTGAGCACCTGCATGTTAAGTAGGCCTACTTACATAGGGTCATGCTATTTAATACCCGTCAACAAGCGTCAACAAAGTGTTAACAAGTTGAACACCAATTTTCAGCAAAAATAATGTGTTCACAATACTCAGCTCAGTGGGCTCCTAAAATTATTTTCAACTGCTCAAAATATTTAGAAGTATGTTTAAACATGTTAAATGTGCAATTTTAATCGAAAAAAGGTACGACGACAACAGTGACGTTCTTCCAGCCAAACTGGCCAGCATCTTGTTTGTCTTGGAGTTTTTTTGGACAGTGGTACAATAGCACGACCGCTTACATACAAGTATGAGGATCTCTGGAACAATAGCACGACCACCTTCATATGACTATGACCAGGCATGCAACTGGGAAGTCCCAAAAAAAGAGGAAATTCACATTTTTCCCAGACTTTGAACAGTGTTTTTCTATTTTCAATGGCACACATTGGAAGTGAAAAATGAGGAAATCAGCTGATCCGAGGAAAAGTTGCATGCCTGTATGACATGTATGAGGATCTCTGGAGACTGACGTTTGCACCAGATCTGTCCTTTCCAAAAAAATGAAGGAAGCAGCAATGCAGGTGCTCATAGGCTATCATAAACATTGTGGCTGTAGTTGAATGTCTAGGTCCGGCTTTCGCATGTTACTAGACTACATTCAAATATGGGTCTAGGACAAAAAACTGTGAGGGCAGGCGGTAGGCAAGGTAGGCCTAGATTCCATTCCTACCTCTATCATTTTTTGGTGTCCATGCTTTAATTAAAAACAAATTTTTGGTGGTTAAGAAATGTCAAAGTTTAAAAGAACGATTACACGGGTGCCTTCTACATTACATGTTCTACTTCTGGAAAGAAGTCCTACTCAATCGGATGGTGATAAGTACCATAGGCCTACAATTTGCAAAGTAAACAGCTTGACATTCTGCTCACTTCGAGTTTGACTGGCCCTAAAAATCATTTTATGTTTATGTTTTTATATTTACGGGAAAACTTACTTGGGTTTCAATTCGTCCAAGTCCGACCTGTACTTGCCGAGTTCGATCTGCAATCTGGCCTTCTCTTTCGCCGTGTCGTCCAGCAATTTTCTCATGTCAGCTAGCTCTTTCTCGTACATGTATTTCAGGTTGGAGATCTCCTGTGCCTGGGTCTCCTCCACGGTCGAGAGCTGAAGCATGAGTCGGCTGTTGTCTGATTCCAGAGACCGGACCCGGTCGATGTAGATAGCCAGGCGGTCGTTCAGGTCCATCAAGTCTTCCTTCTCTTGGGTCCGGGTGATGGCCGTCGGACTCCTCGGTGAGGACCGGGTGCTGCTGCTACTGACGACATGTTTGACGGTCTTGCTGGACCGTGTGCTGGTCCTTTGGCTCATCATAGGAGTCGACATTTTGGCAGAGAAAAATACGGTTTACACAAAATACACGTACAGCGTCCGATCCAGTAAACGTACATGTACATGTACGTACGTGTACGTATGTATACAGTACAGTCTAGTCAGTGCACATACACATGAATTAGGCCCTAAACAACGCTGAATGAGCCCGGAAGTCAGACACACGCGTGGCCTTTGAAGATCACGTGGTGCTTTGTAGACCAATAGGATCGATGATATGCCAGACACAACCGCCAAATTTGCAGTAAACTGAAAATCAAAATGATACAAGTTGAGCCGCAGCTAGCTAGCCGCGCCAGTGGTATGGTACGCGGTGGATGTGGATATGGATCAGCGCTGTCCTTGTAGTAACGGGCCTAGTACTAGTAGTAGGGAGTAAAATTTTAATTTAATCGCGGGTAAGGCTTTTTAATCGTTTTTAGGGGCTGATCAAATTTGCACTGATTTGAAATTGCGTCCCATAATTGACTGTGATATACGCGGACACAATCGATTTGAAATTGAACTTAAACCGTTACAAAGCACTATTGATGTACCCTAACGTGGCGCGTCCCCCATACCCAACGTGGCGCACTTTGATTTTTCGCCTGTGGCGCCTACCTAGAGCAAAAGTTTTAACTGAAATTTCACAGAAAGTGAAATTTCATCAAGTTCTAAACACTCCTGTTCATAAATCGCAAGTTTATTTAACCGTAACAAAGTTAGAAGAAAAATATATTTTGGCGTGATTTTGCGATTTTATTTTCAAGTGCAAAGTGAACCCTAAGCGCCTACGGCGCTATAGGATCTTTGCTGTACATATTATACCAACATCAGTTTCTTCCAAAAGAGGGCGCGCTACACAAATAACGGTCACCACCGTAAAGACGACTTCTGTCAACGTGGATCACGATCTGCCCAAACAAAGTCGGCATTAATTGAACAAAAATATAACACACGTTGTGGAGACGATAACTCAAGAACAACACAGTGCACTGAGTTGAAATTTCGTTCAATGATTGTTCGGGATATAGGACACAAATATATGTAAAATCGACGGGAACCATTAAAGAATAAATTTAATATGATTTAAGGAAATACAGTGTACTAATCGCGAAAAAATCAATTTGAATTCGAGTCATTTTTAATGGAACAAAAAGAAAGCACTCTTTGTGGAGACGATAACTCAAGAACGACACAGTGCACTGAATTGAAATTTCGTTCAATAATTGCAGGGGATATAGGACACAAATGTATTGAAAATCGACGGGAACCATTAAAGAATAAATTTAATATGATTTAAAGAAATACAGTGTACTAATTTCGAAAAATTCAATTCGAATTCGAGTCACTTTTAATGGAACAAAAAGAAAGCACTTTTTGTGGAGACGATAACTCAAGAACGACACAGTGCACTGAATTGAAATTTCGTTCAATAATTGTACGGGATATAGGACACAAATGTTTTGAAAATCGACGGGAACCATTAAAGAATAAATTTAATATGATTTAAGGAAATACAGTGTACTAATCGCGAAAAATTCAATTCGAATTCGAGTCACCTTTAATGGAACAAAAAGAAAGCGCTCTTTATGGAGACGATAACTCAAGAACAACACAGTGCACTGAATTGAAATTTCGTTCAGTAATTGTACGGCATATAGGACACAGATGTTCTAAAAACCGACGGGATCCATTAAGGAAATACAGTGTACTAATTGCAAAAAAACATTCAATTCGAATTCGAGTCACTTTTAATGGAACAAAAAGAAAGCGCTGTTTGTGGAGACGATAACTCAAAAACAACCGAACACTGAATTGAAATTTCGTTCAATAATTGTTCGGGATACTGGATCTTTCCTCCCCCTCCCCAATATTGACCATAACAACGGGAAATTCAAAACTTTAAAGAATGTTAAAAACCTAACCTGCTGAAGTTTCAGCACAGTGGATATTACACCTTTCCAGAAAACCATGCACAACCTTTTATGATCACGAAACACACTTTCGTCTTGGCATTTTACAAAAAGGTGTAAATGGACTGTCGTTGGATATCACTTACATTTTCTTGATATTTTTTTTCGAAATGACAGCAAACCAGTACAGGAATTTATGTGGTCTTTTAGTACCACTGAGTATCCAAGTAAGCTTACAATAATTCGTTATTTGTCACTTTCGGGGTAAATATAAATGCAAATGATCCTTGTAAATGCCACAGCTCGAGGAGGGGGGGGGGGGGCGACTGAAAGTGTGTGAAAAGGGGCATAGGTGCAAAAAGAGCACACACTTTAAAATGCAAACCGTGGAAAATGATGGACGTCTCATAGACCGGATTTTTGTTCATTTTTTATTTCATACTAAAAGTAGTCTCCATCAGATTTCCAAGTATTTTCCAACAGAAACAAAATTCCAACTTGATGAATTAGATTCTTGATGAATTAGAGGGAGGCGTTTTTCATGTGTTGCTTTGTGGGCTTCCCACATGCATGGACTCATAGGCCTTCCACAACTGAACCGAAGTAATCCGGCTTAAAATCTCTTAATCTTAACACTATAATCAATATATCGGAAGATGTTAAGCCCTGAAAGGAAACTACTGCGCCTGCTCTGTGCAATTGCACAATATCTCCGGTCATTGAACTCTCCGGTCGAATCCATTGACAACATGCTGACTTTTCCGATAATCTTGGTGACCGAAATTACTGAGTCTAACGATTTTCTGGCAAATTTGCTGCCCAAAGTAAAAAATAACCAACGAGCAACCATTGTCCTCGAATCGGTAAAAAAAATGGGCGTTTTGTTATTTGTGTAAGATGTCTATGGTCACAACCCCAAAGAATTATTGTTGTCAACACGGAGAAAACACTGCCCAACTGAAGTCAACTTTGATAATATTCTTTCAAAAGAGGGCGCGCTACACAAATACTGGGCAAAAGTTGGGCAAAATGGGTTGATAATGCGACCACTGCTGGTCGAATTACTCTTGTGCAAATTCTTCCGAATAGTTTGACAGTTTTTACCCAATTCAACCCAATATATGAGGTAATTTCATACCAATGCAATGCTGGGTAAATTACATTGCCCAACAGTGTTTTATCCAACCTTTTTTTGTATATAAATATAATGGTCACCACCGTAAAGATTTTTTTCACAACACGGAGAAAATCCTGGCTAAAATAAAGTCAAAGTCTACTGAAAACCTGCTTTTAAACTAACACATCGTTGTGCGGATGAAAACTTAAGAAAAACCTGTTGTATTAAACTGAAATCTTGTCTTGTGATTGGTCGAGATATACAGCACAAGTCTACTGAATATTAAGAGAAATCGTCCAATGATAAAAATAATATAACCAAAACGAATTGAAGTCAACTTTCATGGAATGAAAAACAACACACTCGACCTGACGACAACTCAAGCATGGGCGGTGATCCTTGGGTGGGGGGGGGGGGGGGGGGGGAGGTAATCCCCCAAACAATTTTTGGGCGGGGATGCCAATGGTGATGCCCCATCACAGATTTTTTTTTAGATTTTACCCCAATGTACCACCATTTTCACATATATTTTCCCCAAAATGCTTGTTCACCATCCTTATCACTAATATTGGACATTATGAAACAAACCGTGGGCGTAATTGTATGCGCATAATACATGTGTACACATCCATATTATTTTTATTTTTGAAATATAATTATGATAATTACATTTCAAAAATAAAAATAATATGGATGTGTGCCTTCATGCATCTGTGAACAGCACCCTCTATAGTCAGATGGTGTCAAGCTCCTGTGTCTGCCCCCCCCCCCCCCCCGCAGCGTCTATATGCTTTGGCCGTGCGCCCTCTTTTGGTATTTCCCTGATCAACCGCCTGACTCTAGAACTGAAGCCTTTGCTTTAAAAAGAAAAAAGGAAGTCCGTTAAAATGAGTACCGGTATATGTGTGACGTGATCTCACAATATCACTAAAACAATGAATGTCAATTTAAAAAATAATCATTGCAACAGTTGTCTTTAGTTGTTTCTGTTTTAAAATATATACACTTTGCTCATCATGAGAATAAGGTTGGTTCCATTGTTATACTAAGTATAGTCTGTTTGTCAGGGTGCGTTTGTTTCGCTACGCCGGCATGACGGTGTCACATGAAAATCCGACTCCTATGAAAATCGGACCCCTTTTTCCCTTTTATTGGTTAATCCCTCGCACGTGACAGGTCACTCTCCCCAAACGGTCCTAAAAATAGCGTAGTATCGTACTCACGCGTGCGCACTACTACCAATGAGTCCACATTTCATGGAGTCGGATATTCACGCTACAACGGTTCCAACACAGATCCTTGGACCAGTGCCGCGCTATATAACAAACAAAACTGAACGAAGTGACCCTGAAGTAGTTTAACTTTCGGATCATTTGAAAGCGCCTTTCCATTGTTATGAGAATTTGAATGAAAGTTTTTTCATGACCGAATGAGTAAGGTCTGAAAGTGGACGGGAAAACCTATAAAAGAACTAGAAAAACTAAGCAATCGAGTCATCATGCATGTTTCGCCTGATTACCATCATCCGCACACAAATTTAGAAGTGCACATAATATTCATAACGTCAGACCCTTTTTTTTATAATGTGAACTAAAGAAAGGAAGAGTTGAATTTATCTCACAGAACAAAACGAAATTGAATGACCGAAACATTTAAATAAATGAAAAAAAAAACCCGAAAAAAACCCCGAATTTAATTCAACGCCAATCTCGAATTGATTTCTCAAAACAAGGACGAATTAGAACACGACATTCTGCAACGACATTTAAGTATCTTTTTGTGGAATTTGAAACTATTAGTTTACTGACATAGTTGGGTTTCTCATTTTGTTCTTTATCGATTGCAAAGAAATGCAACAACACTGAAAGCTCTAAAGTTTTTTTCAGGGTTTTACATTTTTTTTATAATAAAATTTGATTCTTACGTCTTTTCGTTATAGTCCTCATTTTGAATCTAACACTGATCCACCTCCGGATGGGGCGAGGATCCTTTATGTGGATCCCAGCAAACCAATTAAGGAACGGATCCGGGATCCGGATCCGTATGAATAAATTAAACACGCC